AACTCCACCATCACCTCTGACAAACCAGGCTTTGTCACTTTCACCTCCAATGGGACAGACAGTGACAATAATGTCACCTGCGCTGGTGAACCACCTATTACCAGACCATCTCCCCCAACCCCCATCCTGCGTGAGTGGCTGACATTTCTCATGATGTTATCTTATTTCTATTGTATCCTACCACCAAAGGGGATACTTGCAATAAACTTATTTTTCCTTTCGCGTACATTTACTCAAATTTTTTTCATCATATTACAAGACATGTTCTGTGTGTCTTGTTAGCTCATTATTGCTCAGTGTTACTGTAATAATTAGCAGATATTAGCGATTTGGCTAAGGAGCGCAATGAGTAGGAATTCATGATGAACAGAGCAGTGCATCCTGAGGTTTGTGCTAATTCCCTTCATAATTCTCTCCCTCCTCCTTCACCTCAGCACATTCATCTACCTCCAGCATCAACTTCAACACAACAAAGAATTCATCTACTCCCACCCCCACTGGCCAATGTGAGTTTTTGACATTCCCATCTTTAATTTCCCATTGGGTTTTCACGTGATTCTTATTGTGTCTGCCTTATTCAGATTCTTTCAACACAGGAAGCCTTCACTTAATTGTATCAGCTCCTCTCTGTCTGACTAGCTGATCACTGGAATAATCAGTGTAGATCTCAGCAGACAATCCTGAGTATTGTATTAATACTCTGCCTTTGCTCCCCCCACCTCCTTCATCTCAGCGGATGTATGTGGTCTCGCCCCACTGAACAATGGTGGCAGCAGTGGGTCGGTAGCAGCAGGGATGTGGCCCTGGCAGGTCAGCCTGCTGATTAATGGGGTCTATGTCTGTGGCGGCACTCTCATCACACGGAGATACGTCATGAGTGCAGCCCAGTGCTACAACAGGTCAGCCACAAGGCCCACATGATGTTATATTTTTATGTCTTATGAAGTTTTATGCCGACACACACCTATTAGGATCTAAACCTTCAGTTCTACATCCTCATGTTTCCATTTTCTGTGCTTCCAACTCATTCAACCTCAGCTCAGTACCCAACAGCCAGTGGACAGTGGTTCTGGGTATGAATGTGTCACTTGGGGTGACTAACATCAGCCTGAGCAACCTGACAGGCGCTAACATCGCTTTGCTCTGCCTGGCCACAAGTGTGACCCTGACCGACTACATCCAGCCTGTGTGCCTGGACTTGAGCAATACCGTATTCACCAGTGGGGCAAAGTGCTGGGTGACAGGATCAAGCAGTGTTCAGGGCGGAGGTGAGCGTGTCATTGTGTGCCCACCTGTCTCACTTTGGAATGGTGTCACTGAGTATAGAATATAGGAAAATTTTTCAAGTAATAAGCAACACCTCCCCCCCCTCCCCCCTGCCTACCAGGCCAAAGTCTTCAGCAGCAGGAGACGGCAGTGGAAAACTGTGCAACCACCTCTACTAACCAAATCTGCACTGCAGCTCTAAGCTCACTGACGGTAGGGCCATGAATCTGTTCCTGCCGCTTTCATGCTCATCCTCCTCTGCGCTGACAGTGTCTGCTGCTCCCTTACAGATGTATCTGTGCCTTAGCCTTTCTCTCGCTCCTTCTGCCTCCCTCTCCTCATCACAGGGGTACACAGGGGGGCCTTTGGTTTCAAAGAGCAGAGGATCCTGGTTCCAGGGTGCAGTGATAATGACAGGTACCTCCCGCACACGTGCAACATCGCAGCAGGTCTTTATCACGATGTCAGCTTTCAGGAGTTTCATTGGAGATGTAGTGGGCCTGTTGCCACAGCCCAGCAGAGCAGGACAGCACTTCTCTGCCCTCCTCAGCCTCACCCTCCCCCTCCTCTCCCTCTTATTGATGTCACTCTGTGGCCACTGACATCCTCAACTGTTTTTCTCCTCATCAATCAGCACCGTTTCTGTAACATTAAAACAAATTTACAGGCTGTATGACAGAAAGCAGTTCAGTCTAACAGTTTAGTTTCTAAAGGTACCTTGTAAGTTCATTTACACTTTTAAAACTTTAAAAGTTACTGCTTGTATTAAAAATATTAATAATGATGGTAAACCTGGCTGTACTGAAGGTACTAACGCTTTAGGGTAACAATCCTAGTTAGATTTATAACTGGATATTTAATTGCACAGAAACTATCTGCAAAATTTTGCTTCTGTCATTACCGTACTACCATTGACTTTTAGCTTATGAAATGTAAGATGTCTGAAAGAAATACCTATATAATTATTAATACATTATCTCTACTTTCATGTTCAATCATGTATAATCAAATATACAATAAGGTAATACTTTATACATCAATTAAAAACTGATTTCAAATGATTAAATGTTTCTGTTCATATTCTGATTTTCATTACTACACCGGAATAATAATTTACAGATTTTCTTTGGTATTGCCCCGGTTTCGTTGGTATAACAGAACTAAACAGAAAAGTTTATATCCTGTCCATCACGTCCACCTAATCCTCCTGTTTCCTCCCCAACGTGGCCCTTATGAGCCACGCCTGTTACTTGTTACTCCTTGTTAGTCTTTGTATTTAAGTACCTGTTTGTCTTTTCAGTCCCATTCCAGTCATTGACGTCACTCCTCCTGTCTGCCCACGTCCTTCCCTGAATTCAGTTTTGACCTTTTGCGGCCTCATTTTGTTTTCCCTGCACTGATTTAGTTCAATGAGCCCTTTTTGTTCACTCCAATACCTGGTGTATAGTCCTTCGTCTCACAAATCATGACAGTCAATTGCTCCGGTATAGCAAGCAGGTGCAGTAAGTTGTTGCTATGGTATTCATGGTGTTGCTAAGGTCTTATTAGGCAAATGGTTTTGTATCTATGGTTTGTAGGGTGTTGCTATGTTACTTAAGGTGGTTGCTAAGGTGTTGCTATGGTGTTTCTAGGTGGTATGCTAATCTATGGTAGATTACCTTCTCTGTAAGACGGTGCAGCGGTTTCACAATGCTGGCGAAATCCTTCACAAAGCGTCAGTAATGGGACTCCAGCCCCAGGAAGCAACGTAGCTCTTTCACATTGCGTGGGGTCGTCCAGTCCTGCACCGCTGCCATCTCTTCTGGGTTCCGCGCCTTCCCTGCTGACGACATGGCCTAGGTAGCACATCCGGCGCCATAACCCTGCCTGCCAAATCACAGAGAGCACAGTCTTTAGGTTCCAGATTTCCCCCGCAAAGTCAGCAGCGTGGACCAGAAGATCGTTGAGGTAGACAATGCACTCAGTTTGGGGGACGTGGGACAGGACACACTCCATGAGCCTCTCGAACGTGGACAGGGTGTTGCACAGGCCGAATGGCATCAACTGGAAGTACCATAGTCCATGGCTGATGGTTCTGCCGTCTTGGGGCGAGCTTCCAGAGCCAGTTCAACCTGCCAGTTACCAGTCCGGAGTTCCAGGGTGCTGAAGCACATCGACCCAGCAATGTAGTTCAGTGCATCATCGATGTGTGCTGTTGGATAGGAGTCTTTCCTCGTCACCACGTTCTGCCGTCGGTAGGTGATGCAGAACTGCCATGATCCATCTTTTTTGGCAATGAGGATTGCTGGAGCTGCCCATGGGCTGCCGGACGGCTCTATGAATCCTGACACTGCCATCTCTCTGATTCTCTGCTCTGCCGCTTGCCGCTTCGCCAGAGGCAGTCTGTGCAGACGCAGGAGAATGGGCGAGGCATCCCCCATGTTGATGTGGTGCTTCACCAGGGAAGTGGGTCAGCCATCTTCATCCCTGGCGGTGAAGATGTCTTGGAACGAGGCCAACAGAGCTTTGGGCTCGTCCTGCTGCTCTGCCATCAGGTCCCAGCTGCTACACTGCCATGCCTCGTATCCAGCTCACACCATCTCGGGAGACATCCCCGCTGTGATGTCACTGCGTTCCGCGATTGGGGCAGGGCTTGGGGCTGTGTCACTGATCTTTCCCTGAGTGCTGCGGGCTGCTCCCTACCCACAGCGAGTGGTCTTCCTCATTCTCTGCCGCCGGCTGCTGCTGTCATTCTGGAGGGCCACCACATCTGCTCCGAGGTGGAGGGCTGCTCCCGGCACATCGATGGTGGCCCCCAGTTGAGTCAGCAGGTCCAGACCGATGATGCAGGTTAGGGAAATCAATGAGCCAGACCTCCTGCACCAGTGTGTGTCTTCTTCCTCATGGCAGTGCGCACGCCAGTCACCAACGTCAAATGCACGTCAGTCGTTTCCCAGCCGGCTGGCACAGCTCTTCTTTCAATTTGATCAATTTTATGTTACTATTGAAATGGGTTATGCAATTAACCCAGCAAGATGGGATAAAAATTTTACCCAATTATTGGGTTATTTTAACAAGACTGTTCAGTGTTAAATTTACATAATGGTTGGGTTTCTATTTCAAGATTTTGGTTATATTACCTGCAAATTTAGGAGTTATGATTTATGAGTTATTATTTTTGGCTCTTTTTCATCCTTAATTAGTTATTAGCCAAATTAATATTTATTTATTGCTCATCATTATTAATCACCAATATTACATCATTATTGATAAATTCTATGTGTTTTATCTCTATGTGTTTACATCTATATTGGATATTCTGGCCTGTGATAAAATATCCTAACAATTTGACCAAAGATGCGCAAGAAGTACATTTTTATTGTATAATTTTTATATAAATCAAGCAATATAAATATAAACAAAACAATATTAAAAACATTGAGATAAGAGAACAGTATATTAATAAAACGGAGATTAAACACCTTTCCAACTGTGTAATTATAATAATTATAATGTATGGTTAAAAGATGCATTGCAAAAACTGGTTTATATCAACAATTCTATTTAACATATTTTTAACATTCAAACTCTAATAAACTGCAGTGTGGGCGAAGGTCACGTGATCGGCTTTCTGGACACATATCCAGCCCTAGCCATCTATAAGTTATCATTTGTTGATGCCTGATTTGTGCTACAGGTCTGTAAGGATACAGGGAGGAACCACGGCTGGGGAAACAGTTCCCTCCATTTCATAAATTGCATGATCTGTCAGCACCCAGGTGGGACTGCACTGCTTCGGGCTATTAATATTGAAGACATAAAAATGTCTTGAAACAGCTGCCCCAAGGAGTGCGTGCTGCCCCAAGGAGTGTGTGCTGCCCCAGGACATTCCCTGCCAATATAACAAAATCCGCAGCATATGTATTGCCATCACCCAGCATTAATACGTTAGGGTATGCCCTTACAGTCTGGGCTGGACTGGGGGTACCCCACCAAGTTTATTCCAATCTATAACTAGAGTTGTATGTCTTGAGACCGGTCTTGGTCTCGAGACCACTTTTACGCTGTCTTGGTCTTGTCACAGTCTCGATGGTCTATTTTCTTGGTCTTGTCTTGGTCTCGGATCCCTCGGTCTTGTCTTGGTCTCGCTGTCTTGTCTTGTCTCAGATCGACACGCAACGTAACAATCGATAGTGCAACATTATTATTATTTCGCCTTTAGCGCCCTTCAAATGCAACCAATCGATAACATACATGCATTTTGTTGTGATTCAGACATTGGCGCTCATCCAATCAAAATACACATTATATGCGCAAAATAATTGTAGTGATAGTTAAATGTTAGATGCAGCATCACAGTGATTAGTAAACCTCGTCAGTTAAAGTACA